GATAGAGACTGGAGGAGCCCCTGAGACTACAGCCCTAAGACACCCTTCCGACCTGGAAGTGAAGCCATCCTGGAGACCACCTTCCAGCCAAACAAAAGACAATCCCATAAAATAAACAATAACACCTGAGAGCAATGTGCACCTTAGAACAATCAATTATATGAGATCAAAAGGGCAATATCTGACCAAAAGCAAAGACGAGAAAGCAGTAAGGGGTAGAAAACCAGGACAAAAGGAAACAGGGAAGCCAGGGCAGAAATAGGGAGACTGCTGACACACTGTGGGGAATGAAACCAAGGCCATGAAACACTTTACGCACAAACTATGGAATCGGAATCTAATTTGCTCTGTATACTTTCACCTAATGCACACACAAACACACACACGAAGGTAAAAAGAAAGCTCACAGAACAAAAGCATCTGCCAAACGGATATATGCATATAGGATGGAACTAGGGAGGAAGCCTAGGTATCAGTTCAATGGACTGGACATTTAAGGAGAAGGAAGTAAATTTTCTCATGCCCTAAAAAATAAAAATGCATTTCACAGAGCAAAGAGGAAATACTCACTAGCCTAGACCTTGGCTTTTAGATGGGCAACAGTAATTCTTTCCTTTGCCTCAGAGTCCTTTTATTAGAATTCGGCGGGACTGGGAAAGAAGGGAGACCTGGTGGCATAGTGGTTAAGCACTCGGCTGCTAACAGTAAGGCTTCCTGTTCGAACCCAGCTGCTCTGCAGGAGAAAGATGTGGCAGTCTGTCTCTATAGAGATTTACAGCCTTGGAAACCCTGTGGGGCAGTTCTACTCTGTCCTACAGGGTCACTATGAGTTGGAGTCCACGGCAATGGGTTTGGTTGTTTTGGTTTAGGGAAGAAGTGAATCTTATGACAACAGGCCTTTCTGGGAGCCCAGTCTACTAAAATTAGGGCCCAACCCCACAACTACATCTGCCCCCATCAAACACCACCGACACATACATATCCAGAGGAAAGCATGAGGAAGCCTGGAGTCCTCCCAGAAGCCAGCCTGTGGGGGGCATTTTCAGTTCTAACATTCTCAGGAGTCTTCTCTCTGGAGCTCAGATACCTGACTGGGGGCCATTTTTCTGGGGCTGGACTCCATGGGGCCAAAGAGCAGAAAGCGCAGCTGTGATGCTGGGGTCAGAGTCACACACCCCACCGCAAAGACGAGAAGGCTGGAAGGGGTGGAAAATCAGGACGAAAGGAAATGGGGAACCCACGGCGGAAATAGGGAGAGTGCTGAAACACTGTGGGGAGTGAAACTGAGGCCATGAAACACTATGTACAAACTATCCTAGCTCACTACGACTAGCTCACACAAACCGTAGCTCACACAAAAAGCTCTGCGTCCAATTCAGTCACACAAACGCCGTCACGCACCAGTCCAGATCTCACAACCGCACGTAACCCACTGCCACTCCGCGGGCCCGCCACGCCCACAGACACACGCTGTCCCACTACTGCCCTTCTCACAGACACTTGGGCCCGAGGCGCGAAGCTCTCAACGCCCTGCCGTACCGTAGCGCCTCCTCTCCCTTCTCATCCCCCGGGCCGCGGCGCCTTCCCTGTCGTTGGCCGAGACCAACGCTACCAGCCGGGACTGCTCACCTGAGGCGCCGAACCTGGCCAAGAAAAGTGAGCACAACGGCCCGCGCGCGGGGCATGCTGGGAGCGCAAAGTGCGCAGGCGCGGCCAGTCTCAAGGGGACGGAGACTGAGACCCTCCGCTGAGAGTGTGGGCAGGAGATACGTGGGACACCGGCGAGGGCGGGGTTTTCTGAGAAAGCTGTGGCAGAGTCTGGAGCGGGAACTGGGCCGACAACAGGCGCGTAAAGGGGGGTGTGCATGTATGTGACACTCTGTGGGGCCTCCTGGGCAGCTGTGTGACTATGGAGCAGTGGTTAAAGCGCTTGGCTGCTAACTGAAAACATTGGGGGTTCGAACACACCAGCCTCCAGAGAAAAATGTGGCAGCCTGCTTCCCTAAAGATTTACAGCCTTGAAAACCCGATGGGGCAGTTCTACTCTGTCCTGTGGGGTCGCTAAGAGCCAGAATGACTCCACGGCATGGGTTTTGGTTTTGGTGTGTCTTTCTGTGAGGTGATTCTGGGTGTGATTCTTTCACTGGACGTGGCTGGTTTGTGTTTGAGATGGTGCCACTGCGGGGACACTCGAATGCTGTTTGCAAGGAAGATTGTATAACTGGAATTGTGTGTTGGGCTCTGTAGGACTGAGACTGACGTGGGCACCTTGTGGGATCATGGGGTTGTCTGTGAATGCATGAGGTTGTTTCTGTGAACGTGCCGGTAACTGACTCTGAACATTTATTTGATAGATTTGCTTTCTTTTTCAGGCCTTCCCTGGGGACCATGGATGTGAGTCAGTCATTGTATGTCTGAGAAACGATGCGCCAGATAGTGTGTTCCTTCGGATCTGTAAGGAGTTGGTTATCTGGATGACTGGATGTAACCACGAGTCTCACGCTCCTCAACTCTGAAATAGAAGAATGTTCTATCTTCATGGAGCATCAGCTTTACTGGAGGATTTGGTTTAAAAAATAATGATTTTTTTCTGGAAAATTATTTAATCACACAGGTTTGTTGTGGAGAAGAATGCAAATAAGCAAAAATTTAAAAAAATAAGGTTTCAAAGGAAATTCCCATCATGGGGTAGTTGATTTACTTCTGCCCTAGATTCCCAGGAGCTGGCTTTTCCTCTTGCTTTGTGTTAAGAGGATTTTGTTGGGAAACAGTATAGTCAGAGTAGACAGCCCAGGATTTGGGGGTCAGATAGCTTGGGTCCTAGATCAGGCACACTTTTTCCCTTTGTTCAAGGAGGGCTAGAAACTCAAGACTTAAAGTATGAGTTCACACTGACATTTAAGTATGAAACTGAAATGTTAGTATGAACTCATAACTTTACAGGATTTTATCCGTTCTCTGTTGGCTCTGGAGAAAGGTCCATGTCATCAGTCTTCCCTTGGTCTAGCAGCTTCTCTGCATAGGAACCTCAGGTCCAAAGGACGTGCTCTGCTCTCAGCACTGCTTTCTTGGTGGTATGAGGTTCCCATGTCTCTCTGCTTGTCTCTCTCTCCCATATCTCAAAAGAGATTGGCTCAAGACACTATCCAGTCTTGTAGATCTCATCAATATAACTGCCAGTAATCTATCGTATTACATCATAGTGACAGACTATACAACACATAGGGAAGCCACATCAGATGACAAAATGGTAGACAATCATACAATACTGGGAATCATGACCTAGCCACGTTGACAGATATTTTGGGGGTACACAAGTCAATCAATGACATTCCACCCTTTGGCCCCCCTCAAAAAAATTCATCTCCTTGTGACATGTAAAACATATTCCCTCTATCATATAAAAGCAAAAGTCTTAATTCAATCCTAAGTCCAAAATCCAAAAATTCCTCTTCATCTGTGAAATCTAGAATAGAAGCTTATCTGCTTCCAAAGTACAATGGCAGAACAGGTACAAACTAGACATTTCCATTACAAATGGGAGAAACTGGAGGGAAAGAAGAAATAACAGGCACCAAGTAAGTGAGCAGAATACATTACATTAGCCCTCAAGGCTTTGAAATAATCCTCTGTTCTCTGAGACCATTCACATAATGGCCCTGCTCACCAGACTGTAGGTATTGGCCATACTCTCTGGATTCTGAGCAGAAGCCCCTTGGCCCTGGCTTCAACTCCCCCTTCCAGGCCTACTGGGACTGCAACTCTGCTCCCTTGGCTTTAGGCACACCATTGTCCTAGTCCATCTGAGTGGCAACTCCACCCTTTGAAACCCCAGAGGTCCTGGCCATACCTTTTGAGACTGAGGCAGCTCAGCTTCCTGTGTTCCTTGTCTCTTCAGCTTCTGCTTCCTGGTTTCTTGGCCTCTTGGCTCCTCGGGCCTCATGCCCACATATGCCATGCTGAGGCAAGTGTTCCAAAGCTCTGTACCTCCACCAATAAGTGCCTAGAGGCACCCCACTCTGCCAGTAAACTTCACCAGAAAGCACTCAGCTCTTTTGCTCTGTGGGTCAGCAACCCCAGCTCCACCGATAAGTGCCCCGAGGCACCCCACTCCCTGAGGAAGCCTCCTGTGCACAGGCACTCAGCTCTCTCACTCTGTGGGTCAGCTCCAGCGCCGTCTTGTGCTGGTCTCCTTGTTCTCCTGCTGCTGGTCCTCTGCCACTACTACTTCTCTGCTGCTGCTTCTCTGCTACTGCTTGTCTTCTGCCGCTGCTGCTTCTCTGCCGCTGCCAGTCCTCTCTCTGCTGCTGCTGGTCCTCTATCCATTCACAGTTTCAAAACTCCTTCCACGTTTTAGGTATCTGTTAGAGTAGCACCCCACTCCTGGTACCAAATTCTGTCTTGGTCATCTAGTGCTGCTATAACAGAAATACCACAGGTGGATGGCTTTAACAAAGAGAAATGTATTCTCTCACAGTCTAGTAGTATAAGTCCAAATTCAGGGCATCAGCTCCAGGGAAAGCTGCTCTGTCTGTCAGCTCCAGAGGAAGGTCCTTGTCATCAGTCTTCCCTTGGTCTGGGAGTGTCTCAGCACAGGAACCTTAGGTCCAAAGGATGCACTCTGCTCCTGGTGCTGCTTTCTTGGTGGTATGAGGTTCCCGTGTCTCTCTGCTCGTCTCTCTCTCCCATATCTCAGAAGAGACTGGCTCAAGACACTATCCAATCTTCTAGATCTCACCACTGTAACTGCCACTAATCTATCTTATTACATCACAGTGATAGAATATACAACACATAGGGAAGCCACATCAGATGACAAAATGGTAGCCAATCATACAACACTGGGAATCATGACCTAGCCAAGTTGACAGATACTTTTGGGGGATATAATTCAATCCATGACTCTTACCTTTGTTAAAAAATAAAATCATTGTATTCAAAAGAATAATAATATTTGATTGTTCTATGATTTAATAAACAATTTAAAAATTGAGGCAAACTTCTCCTGCAGGAGGAGCCTGTTCCAGAGAATGAAGAATTCACAGAGACTTAAATAATTTTTGCTTAATGAATACAGGTTTCAGTGGTGATGAAGTAGTTAATTGCTACTGAATTAGCCTTAAAAAGAGACTCCTGAAAATTTGGCCCTTTATCCATTGTTAACTATGAGATTGCTTGAAATTAAAATTTGGAGAAGCCCAGAGTCTTTTTCATTACATCACAAGGTAATAGTTTTGTCATTGACTGTTCTTCAAACAGGAAAGAAAAGTTGATTATTACTAATTTTGGTTGGAAAAAACAAGCCAACTAAGCTGCCAGCGAGAACAACTGTGGGTCAGGAATTTTTAGGTCCATAGATAAGAAAAGCCTCTTGAAATAAAAGTAAAATATTCTTAATAAAAGTCTTATTCGACACCTTTTATATTCATGTTTCTTTTTCTAACAAGAAATCCTGCTTCCTAGTAACATTAACATTTATTTGTTTTAGCCTACAATATCCATAAAATAGTTTAAAATTACAATGTTAATATTATTACTAACAAATCTAATAGATAAATTTTTAGACTGCAGTTCCTTTATAGCAGGGGTCAGCAAACTACAGCCTGTGAGCTAAATTCAGCCTGCTGCCTATTGTACAACTGGTGAGCTAAGAACAAGGGCATCAGCCGGGCAGATGAGTTCTAATTACAGAAACAGTGCTGGTAGCTTGTGCGTTTCCACAACTATATTACTAATGGGGTGATTGCCTATTCCTGTGTGGTTGCTAGGGCCCTGTCCAGGCCCTAGTCCAGGCAGGGAGGGCACCGCTGCATTGGTCACTTCTCAGATGTAGACTGCCTGGGCCATACCTCATACAGGCATACCTCAGAGATATTGTGGGTTCTGTTCCAGACTGCCGCAATAAAGTGATTATTGCTATAAAGCAAGTCACCTGAAATTCTGGTTTCCCAATACATATACAAGTTATGTTTAAACTATACTGTAGCCTATTAAGTGTGCAATAGGATTATGTCTGAAAAAACAATATACATAACTTAATTAAAAAATATTGCTAAAAAATGCTGACCATCATCTGAGCCTTCAGCGAGTCGTAACCTTTTTGCTGATGGAGGGTCTTGCCCCGAAGTTGATGGCTGCTGGCTGATCAGGGTGGTAGTTTCTGAAGGTTGGAGTGGCTGTGGCAATTTCTTAAAATAAGACAATGAAATTTGCTGCATAGATTGACTCTTCCTTTCATGAAAGATTTCTCTGTAGTATGTGATGCTGTTTGATAGCATTTTACCCACAGTGGAAGTTCTTTCAGAATTGGAGTCAATCCTCTCAAACCCTGCTGCTGCTTTCTCAACTAAGTTTATTTAATATTCTAAATTGTTTGTTGTCATTTCAACAATGTTCACAGCATCTTCACCAGGAGTCGATTCCATCTCAAGAAACCACTTTCTTTGCTCATCCATAAGAAGCAACTCCTCATCCATTAAAGTTTTATCATGAGATTGCAGCAATTCAGCCATATCTTCAGGCGTCACTTCTAATTCTAGCTCTCTTGCTATTTCCACCACATCTGCAGTTACTTCCTCCACTGAAGTCTTGAACCCCTCAAAGTCATCCTTGAGGATTGGAATCAACTTCTTCCAAACTCCTGTTAATGTTGATATTTTGACCACCTCCTATGAAACACAAATGTTCTTAGTGGCATCCAGAATGGAATCCTTTCCAGGTTTTCAATTTCCATTGCCCAGATCCATCAGAGGCATCACTATGGCAGCTATAGCCTTACAAAACGTGTTTCTTAAATAAACCTTACGAAATGTATTTCTTAAATGGGACTTGAAAGTCAAGGTTACTCCTTGATCCTTGGGCTGCAGAATGGATGTTGTGCTAGCAGGCATGAAAACAACAATAATCTCCATGTACATCTCCATCAGAGCTCTTGGGTGACCAGCTGCATTGTCAATGAGCAGTAATATTTTGAAAGGAATCTTTTTTTCTGAGAAGTAGGTCTCAACAGTGGGCTTAGAATATTCAGTAAACCAAACAGATGTGCTGTCATCCAGGCTTTGTTGTTCCATTTATAGAGCACAGGCAGAGTAGATTTAGCTTAATTCTTAAGGGCCCTAGGATTTTCAGAATGGTAAATAAGCATTGGCTTCAGCTTAAAGTCACCAGCTACATTAGCCCCTAACAAGAGAGTCAGCCTGTCCTTTGAAGCTTTGAAGCCAGGCATTGACTTCTACCTGTGAAAGTCCTAGAGGGCATCATCTTCCAATATAAGGCTGTTTTGTCTATGTTGAAAATCTCTTCTTTCGTGTAGCCACTTTCATCAATTATCTTAGCTAGATCATCTGGATAACTTGCTGCAGCTTGTACACCAGCACTTGCTGCTTCACCTTGCACTTTTATGTTATGGAGATGGCTTCTTTCCTTAAACCTCATGAACCAACCTCTGCTAGGGTCAAACTTTTCTTCTGCAGCTTCCTCACCTCTCTCAGCTTTCATAGAATTGAAGAGAGTTAGGGCCTTGCTCTGGATTAGGCTTTGGCATAAGGGAATGTTGTGGCTGGTTTGATTTATCCAGACCACTTAAACTTTCTCCATATCAGCAATGAAGCTGTTTCGCTTTGTTATCATTCATGTGTTCACTGGAGTAGCATTTTAATTCCCCTCAAGAACTTTTCCTTTGTATTCACAACTTGGCTAACTGACACAAGAGGCCTAGCTTTTGCCGTATCTCGCCTTTCGACCTGCCTTCCTCACTAAGCTTAATCATTTTTAGCTTTTGATTTAAAGTGAGAGACGTATGACTCTTCCTTTCACTTGAACACTTAGAGGCCATTGTAGGGTTATTAACTGACTTAATTTCAATATTGTCATGTTTCAGGGAATGAAGACGCTGGAGAAGAAGGAGAGAGACAGGGAATGGCCAGTTGATGGAGCAGTCAGAACACACACAACATTTATCAATTAAGTTCACCTTTTTATATGGGCGCAATTCGTGGCACCCCAAAACAATTACAAAAGTAACATCAAAGATCACTGATCACCATGACAGATATAACAATAATGAAAAAGTTTGAAATATTGTGAGAATTACCAAAAATGTGACACAGAGACATGAAGTGAGCACATGCTGTTAGAAAAATGATGCCAATAGACTTACTCGATGCAGGGTTGTCACAAACCTTCAACTGATAAAAACCACAACATCTGCGAAGTGCAATAAAGTGAAGCACAATAAAACAAGGTATGTCTTCATTTGCTTCCCCCACATCACCACTGCTGCCATGAGCAGGTAGCCTCTAAATGTGAGGTATCCTTCAAGGCTGGCAGCCCAAGGCATTCTCTTACCGACTTCAAAGCCTATGAGAACTTGTAAATGTATTTGTATCAATAATGTATTCATATATTGTTTAATGCAGTGAAAAAGGGAATAAAAAATGAAATAGTTGAACATAGTAATGGAAAAAGCAAAACAGAATATGAAAAGGCACTTAATAAAAGAAAAAAATATTGCTAATAAGCATACAAATTTCATCCAGTTTATGAGAAAAAAAATTTCAGACACAATGTCCATTAAAATGAGTTCTTTAAATTAGGCAGACAACATTTAAACATATTAAGATCATGAGGTTAAGCATTGTGGGGTACAGAATTTAACTTTACCCAAAGCATTTGGTCTTTGTCCTTAGTTCCTGAGAGAGAACTCTAAACCCTTGGAATCTCCTAAGTAAGTGAGGTTCCTTTCTTATGTATATAGGCCTCTAGATCACACCTGAGTTTATGCTAACGAGGTGACATAGGTAGGGTCTGCCCAGGCCAGAAAGAGCACCTATTGATATTAGCCCATCTGTTGGTGGGGGCAATGAGTCAATCTATCATTCCTATGTAATGAGGCCCCAGTAAAGGTTCTGGACACAGAAGCTTCACAGGCTTCCTGGTTGGTGAAAGACATTGATTCATGTGGGAGGGTAGCATGTCCCTTTCGGGACATGGAAGCTCCACATTGGAAAACCTACCAGACCTTGTCCTATCATCTCTTCATTAGTATCCTTTTTGCTCTAATAAAACTGTAATCTTAAGCATAGCGCTGTCCATGAGATCTATGAGTGGTTCTAGCTAATTACCAAACCCAAGGGAGTAGAAGGAGCCAGCAGGTCAGAAGTGAGTGGAGCCAGGCCCACCTTGCCTACCACCCTGTTCAGGTATCTAGGGCACCCTGGCACAAGGTTTAAAGACCCTCAAATGGTCTCCTGTCTGCTGTGGATTGAGGTGGTGGGCCTGCAGAAGTCCGGAGGCCTGGTGCTTTTTTTCTAGGCTCAGCCCCAGGCATCTCACCACCCATCTGGTGGCCATTGGCTATTGGGAGGGGATAACCTGCAGCGGTGTGAAAAAAAAAAAAGTGAGGGTGGGCTGGGGACTTACAGCTGGTATCCTGAGAGGATAGAAGGAACCCTGAATTTTTAGCCAGCAGGTCAGAAAGGAGGATGTCACGGGGACTCCCAAGCTTGCGACAGGCATCTGCAGTCTTGGGCAGACTTGTCTGGAGAACTCTGCCCGTTAACTTGTGAGGTCTGTTCTAGCTCAGGGTGATTAGAGTCAGGGGTGCTGCATGTGCAGCTGGTGTCAGAACAGAAATGGAACAGAGGGTAAAAGAATTGAATTAAATTGATCCTTACCAGCAAGTGGAAAATTGTCATGCTGTTGGATTGCCACATTTTGTTTAACGGAGATTTGGTAATATGTATGAACGGCCAGTGTCTTAGGCTGGGT